CCCAACACTGCGTCAGCCGACCAGACGTGATTTGATTTCTCCAGTAGTCACAGAAATAATACCCTGTGCGTTCTGGCCAATACAGGGCACTTGTCAACCGCATTTGGTCAGTAAACGACCGAGACTAAAGGCGTGATGGTATTTCCTCATCGTTGTTACGTGAATTTTGAGGACCCGTTTAAGTTCCACTGTTATTCAAGGAAATAAAACATGGGAGACGCGTAGGTAAGAACAGAGTTGCAATGTGGCTGATGGGGGGGGGGCAGTCGCCGCTGCGTCGAGCAGAGTGTTCACTTCCTTCAGTGCAAAGTGAGAAATCCACGAGTCAGGGGAAGTGAAGCCAATTCAAGAGGTGGGGTGAGGAAAGTGTCTCGTAACGTGCGTAAAAGCTGGAATGTGCGAGGTCCCACTAATTCGCCCCCCCCCCCACCGCTCCTCAAGCCACATTGCGCGGAACAGCCTCTGGCCGTCGTAATCAAATTTCCACCCACACTAAAACAAATGAGAGTGCAAAACAACTACAGGACCAGTCTCGATTTTGAGCGTCACGATATGTAGCGCGTGCATTTACGGCCTGGGCGCTGCCTTCATACTCGTTTCTACACAGTCTGCTTGATCTGTTGCTATTTCAAAGCAGTTATTGCGGGACGTGAGAAAAAAAAATTGAGTAAGGAGATGTGAATTCTGGATATAAGTAGGAGCAGGACTTCGGGGTGGCAGTTGATTCGCCCATCTCGTGGTCGTCCCCTCTCCAAAATCCTCACCACTTGCTCACAACTTTGATATTCGGCGTCAGGTCACTGCCTTACATGGTGTTATCGACTCCCTTAGCCTATCATAACGTTTAGGCCGTAACGACCTGCTAACTGTGACGAATCGAGATGCATCTCTGAATTAGTTTTGGACAAATTAGCAGAGTGGGAAAAAGTCAACTACAAATATTCCTCCCCCCTGAATTCTCTGAACTCGACCTCACCCTTGTTCCGCGCGCTATCTCAATAACCACTCCACCTACGGTGAAGCGCTTCGTCTCCCATACCCAACGTCAAGCAGAGAGCGCTGAATTTTCGCTTTAGTGCTCGGAAAACCCCACGAGGATCTATTCGATAAGAGGGGGCATTGCAGTGCAATGCCTGGGTCGTGAGTCGCCCGGCCAACCAAGCCTTCCATCCCTCCGGGGTCGGTTAATTGGTACCAGACTTGTCTGGGAGGATAAAAACACTGACTTGTACATCGGCTGGCCCCCGCAAGTCATTGTATAGGCCACATCGCATTCAAACGCCACTGCGAATGTACAAATGGAAGTAGAATGCGTGCCGCATCCCAAAGGGATTGATCAACGGCAAATGCTTTATCCTTTTCTTTATCATATATCAGTGCAACGTCTATCGCCAGTCGGCTGAAGAATCCTTTTATAAGTTAAGCCTTGCCATCCAACTTTCTAAGATACCCGACGGCGCCCGTTCTGCGGCAACAAACTGAGTCAGGCGGACGGCACGATTGCGCACTTGAAAGAATTACCGACGATCGTACATGCCACATCCACGCGTGTGCACTTGTCCGGCTGACATGGCCTTTGCTGCGGCGATTCGGCTCCGTCGTGCACCCACATTACATCTACTGATATCTCTGTTTGTTTCTTACATAACCGTAATGTGTTTATTTTATGACATCACGGGAAGGCAGATGTACGGCCGGCGTGGGGAAGGGTCACTCTTAGGGAGCCATCTGGCCACTGAAGCCCTAGGCGAAGGATGCCATTCTGGAGGTCGTTCGGCCATACCGGAGTCTCTCCCTCTACACCGGCTCAGTGTGCAACGGACTTTTCCAATTATCTTGACACGATCCCCAATCCACGCCCCCCCCCCTCCCCTGAGACCGGCATTGCCGTCTCATAAACATCTATGAAAAGTAATACTTACCTAGTGAGCCGCTGACTCATCCTAAGGAAGGGGGAGGAAATCCCTGGAGAAAACGAAGTTTGCTCACGAACCTGGGGGTTTTCCCCTTTCTTCTAAAGCTCACCATAGTCCCAAACCTTCTGGAGAACATGCTATACTTGGTTTTGAACACGTTGAGCGCTCCAAACCACACGCCTCTCCTTTACTGGAATAGACCCCTCCAGATTTTACCAAAATTAAGTAAGGAGGTATCCCTCAGTGCTATTACCGCATCCCATATTTCGCCTAGAGACGGCGTGAAGAAATGATCTCTCATCATTATTGTGGGAACAAACCTTGATAATGGAGAAGTGGAGATGTCTGTTGAAAGCCTTCTTGATGTTGCTCACATTCTCCACCTGCGCTATTCCACGGACACTGATCTGTTTACGGCGATCGTAATCGGTCAACATATTTGCCCTGGAAATCATCGCTATCACATCGAACGATCAATAGGTTTGTTAGCATCCGTTCTGTCGCGGAGAAGAAATCAGGTGCAATGATAAGAAAAAACGCGAATCTCGGCTTAGAGAGGAACAGCAAAGTGTAACAACGTTGTTGACAAAAACTCAACGAAAGTGCACGTATTGAGCGACTGCAGACTACTTGTCCGAAAGCAAAAAATTGAGAACTGTCGGGGTTAGGAGGAGACCGGATCGGACAGGAAGAAGATCGCGTGAATGTTGTCCATTTATAGGCACACCCAAAAAGAGTAGCCAGCCGGGTGGCGGGCCATGCGGGCGGGCTCTGCCAGATAGCGCAAAAACGGGGAAAACAATTCAAAAGGCTAGTTGATTATGCAAACAGGATGTTGTGCCCGCAGAGAAGCCAATGAGCGTCCGTCCGTGATCGTCGACGGTTCCAAACGCACATATCCTGAGAATAAAACGCCATTTCATGGACCAAAGGCATCTGTTTACTTGTGGTGCGTTTCGCTGAAAGATCACAAACGATTGATCACGAGTTCAAGATTAATCGAGAGCGAGTTGCAGCGAACTACAGCATGAGTTCGAGGTAAAAAGCGATGCTTGCAAATTACTGGAGAACGGGAAAGAAGAAATAACAGCGAAAGTGCAGCTTCTAGCAGGAGTCCGAGTCACTCGAACTGCGGTCGTCGAGTGTGGTCGGCATCGATTCGCCGACTTGCCAGGCGGCCATTGCTCCCCATGCTACAACAATCAGACTCACGTACCTTTGACGAACAGCGCCGCCGAAAAAACCGCTGGGAAATTATTTTTACCTGTTGTCGAGGTAATCTGCACAGAAAAGACTGCGAGCAAAAAATCTCTCTGGAAATTCCCTCTGGAAATTCCTTCGTTCGGTCATTAATAGTTATGGGATTTCGCTGCACACAAAACGGTCACCCAGTCAACGCAGTAATTCCATCCTTCCGGGTTCAGTTAGTTGACACTCACCACTTAGCCTGAACAAAGATTGGAACCTTGAATAGAAGTGATAATGTGGAAATCGTTATGCAGGGAAACTAGCACTCCATTGCATGTGCGATATGGGATGGATGTCAAACGCATGGCGCATTGCAAAGGTATCGCGACCAAGGTCGATCCGCTCTGTCCATTTCTTCATTCCATTGCCGTGAAACTTAAAGGGTCTGTTAGCAGACTAGCAAGAGACGAGCTATTCCGATGAGGCCCCACATCGTTATCAGTTTCGGACAATTGAGCATTTTTTTTAGAATTGTAGGCTCGTATGCATGCGTACGGACGGGTGCAGGAAATTATTTGCAACACTTACAAGTGTTTTACTGACCTGCCATTTCAGAGAGACTACTGCACGTACTGCCATGAAAAGAGAAAGTATGAAAATAGGGCAAAAATCAAGCAAATAGCTCTATCGCTCCATCACTCCACTTTGCCTATCTACTCTCGATGTACATTTAATTAATCACCCGTAACAGTAGCAGGAAGAAGAGGTCAAGGCAAGCGGCGTGTTTACAATGTGCACGACTGAGCGGTCAAAGCACAATCTCACCCGAACTGATAAAAATAACTAACCGGTACCAAACTCTTCTTCAAAAATTAGTACCTTGATTCATAACATGAGCTGGCTTACTACAAATCACTGTGTAGGTTGGGTATCTTACTCATACACCTATGTTATGAGTAGGGGTTGTATATGTGGCGCGTCCTCGTGAGATTGATCAATGCTGAATGCTTTGTCCCTTATTCTTTGACGGTAGCAGAGCCTGGTAGCCGATTTCGGTCGGCGCCATCGTGGAATTAATACGTGCCCTTTAGGCCGGTCATGTCGTTGGGGGGGGGGGGATATTGAAGTGAGTGAGCTACTAGTCAGAACTACAGTAGGCCGTAGGGGGAAAGGATTTTGGGGGAGGACCTGAGCATCCTTTTCTCCCTGGCGTTTCTACCTCTGCTGTGTTTGACCCTAGTGTCACTTACAAACGCCTTATTAAATGCCTTGTTTTGAATGTCCCCCCCCAAGACTATGAGCGTCACACTTCGTTCATGTTCGCAATATTCCTACCATGTGCACATCATTCATTTTTCTTATTATTATATTAGTTTAGTCCGAGATGGCGCGAGATGGCGCAGCTGTCGCAACGGATTAACGTTGATTGCTTCAAAAATTTAACTTCCGAGTCGGGAGAACAGCGGAAGCAAGAAAAGTCGAAATTGAGTGCTCAAATTTTAAACCAAATATATTTATTTATTATTTTATTTATTTGAAACGACGCATAAGGCAGTCGTGGAAAGCAACGATAAATGAGCAACAGAACAACAATCTTCCCTTATGGAATTCCAATCATTTCGAAAGTTCTAGTCAATCTATAAGAATCAGATGAAGGCAAAAGGCTTCAACAGCTCGAAAATCGATTTGTTGAAATGGTCTGGATTGCCATTGAAATTGTTGCTTTCGGTTGAATTGATTTTCATTTATTGTTATAGCATCGTTCAGTTTTGAGACGATTACCACTGGACTACTATGTTTAATTGTTCTTTGAAATGATGCTGGAATCAATGCGAGTGTATCGATGGAAGAAGTTGAACTTTTATCTCTAAAATCCTAAAAAGCTTCAAGAGAAGAGTGTGGCGTCAAAAATAAAGTAACAAGGCACAAGAGGGAGGACGTCAGCGAGGCTGCTGTGCACCACAGCAGTCTCCCAAAAAAGTCCGACAAGAAAACCGTCAGGTACATCGCCGTCTCGTCGGCAATGCCCGTCCCACTACGAGCAAGAGACGAGCGGCGAAATGAATGCATTAATCATCAAACGCCAAAGACCAAAGTCATCTGTTCGGTGGTATTATATCGCTAGAAACCGATATAAAACCGATTATGGCTTTAGTTGTAAAATGTAATATTCCAAAAGAAATCTTCTTAAGAAAACTGTAAAATTGTGTAAAACGCAGATCAAAATTCAGCATCTAAGCCGCTCGAAAAAGCTGAACGATTCTAGGGGAGCTAGCATTGGAAACTATGACTCTCTCAGTAACCCAACATTACATTAGTCTTCACTGCGAAATTCACGTTACCTAAACCCAGTGGGCTGAAGTGGTGTAGTGAAGTCTGGCATTTACAACGCGTACAGACCGGGGATCAAATCTTGGACCTCACTCGGCGCTGGCCAATCAACCACCCATTCCTCAGGAGCTGCTTAGTTTTAGTCTCATGGAAAATGCCACCACAATTCTGAATGGAGATAGAGAATGGAGAATGCGTGGCGCAATCCACAAAAGGACTGAACACAGCCGATCGCTTTGTGCTTTACGCTTTATATCTACACTTTCACTAGTGGCAAATATACCGCTTGGAATTCTCACAACTGCTAATGTAAAAAT